TTTGTACGTTACTTATACTTACAATGATATTGTAAACATATGATCAAATATTCTATGCTGTACAGGAACCTACAGGAACTCTTTCAATGCGAAGTTGTGGAAACCAGCAGGAAGAAGAAACTGCAGAATCATTTTTTTGTGAATGCCCGTACCTGACTTTTAGAACAAATAGGTTTTTACGACAGTACATATTTTTTTGAAAGCTTGTCAGATTGTTCATGGATGAGCAGGAAAGACATATTAAATAAACCTAGATTTAGTGCTAGACTTTATTGACAAAGCTTTCAGGGGCTTTGTGTAATCAATAGTGAAACTGGTATAATAGGACTCTTCTGACCGCAGTACCGGCTGTTAGACGATTTTGATCTTAAACCTTAATAATAATAATCTCTTGCAATGCCTAGTATTGATAATGCTCAGAAGAAATTTGTTTCGTTTGAAACTTCTGTCATCAGAACAGTTTCAAAACTCTTCTCTAGGTTTAGTTCTAGACTTTATTCACAAAGCTATAAGTGGCTTTGTGTAATCAATAGTGAAACTGGTATAATAGGACTCTTCTGGCCGCAGTACAGGCTGTTGGGCGATTTTGATCTTAAACCTTAATTATAATAATCTCTTGCAATGCCTATCATTGATAACGCTCAGAAGAAATTTGTTTCGTTTGAAATTTCTGTCATCAGAGAACAGTTTAAGAACTCTTCTCTAGATTTAGTTCTAGACTTGATTAACAAAGCTATAATCAATAGTGAAACTGGTACCATAGGACTCTTCTGGCCGCAGTATCGGCTGTTGGGCGATACTATGATATTGTGATATATTATGATATTACTCCAGTCACAAATTTTCCAATGATATACCAGTGATATAGTATCAAGAAATGTCTAAATATATATTAAATTGCAAATGAATATTGAATTGGTGAATTGCATATCTTATTCTTGCAAAAAAAAATCTCATTATGAACTGTTAATGAGTTAATTGTGTATGCTATTTACTTTCCTGTCAATATCACAACTCATCATCACAGATTTCAACACTTCATAGCTCATATGGAGTTAACGTACTGGAACGATTAGTCGAAGCCTGTTTCTCTGTTACATGCAAAAAAGTCATTTCATTTTAAATGTGTTTTCAGTAGCCAAATTGGATAATCTTTCACTTCATGCCACTCACTACTGTCTTGCGTAACATCTGAAATTGCATACGAGCGCTTCATCATCTAAGGTTTTTGCATAACAACTTTAGCTACAGCACATCGCACTGGGCTTCGAACTCTTAACCCTAATACGGCTCAATTTCGAGTTAATCAAACACAAGAAATTTATGAAAAATTTATAAAAACATAAATTTTTATTTTAATTTTTTTTTTTTATTATAAAACTTAAAATTAATAACAACAAATTAAACTGAAAAAAATATTAAATTAACAAATTTAGATATAACACTTCTTCATAACTCTCTTTTTTTCGATTTCTTCTTTTCTTCTGCTTTTCTACTTCTCATTGTTTTTATATTCCAGTTAATTTTTTTTTTTTTTCAACACTACGATTTTCGGTAAATATTATTATTTAATTTAAATATTTTCGGAATACTACATTTAGCTCTTCAAAATTTCATTTAATTCCGTTTTAATTTCTACCGATCTGATCCACCTGCGCTTGCAAATTATTGATCACTTCTGATGGCACTTGATCACCCAAAATTTCGAATAGATTTATTCTTTGATTGCCGGGAATTTGTTCGTATGCGCCCAATTCAATGCCCTCTTGTACGTTCTGTATTTGTGCGTCCTTTGGTATAAGGAAGGTCTGTTGGGCCTGACGTATGGCTTCATTCGTATAGGCAGCGCCCTCGCGTTGTGGGCGACCTTGTACCGAAACCAAAATGGCGCCTAATAAACACAATAAAGCAATTGTTTTCATTGTTTGTAAGCTTGGTGAGAATTTTCAATTAATAAAGATTTCCTTTCGAAATGGTTATCGAAATGCACGTAATGAGTTTTTATGTTTAATCCGTTACCGCTCGATGGACTCGATGGACTCGATGAATAGTCTTGACTGGCGCGCGTTCAACAATGAAATGTTTGTTATAAGGCATGCGATACCGCAGTTTATAAGCTCGGCGTGTTCGTGCTGCAAAACTTTGTTTTGGATTTGTATGCCTGATTTAATGTTGTATTTGTAATTTTTTATTTTTATTTATTTTTTTTACAAAATACGTATTTAATTTTTATTTAACCCGTCACTGGAAAGTGTTCGCTTGTATCTAAAGTTGCTGGTTTCGCAGATGTATGGGTTTGTGTAACTTGAATTTGCAAGTCGTATTCAAGGCACGTCAGATTCATCACTTTTTTATGAGGAAAGCGTTTAAGCTTGGTCACATCTGTCTGCCGTTAATAGGCTTTTGGGCGTGACAACCTTTCCGAAACCATATTATTCAATCTGTTCAATTTAGTTCTTCCATTTAATTTAATTGGAATTGAAATTGAAAATGTCGCTTGCTATGAATTGAGCTTAACAAACTACCGATTAATAATTATTGTAACAAAACTCTGACAAATCAAACAATATCTGTTTATAAAGTAAATGATTTACACTCTGAAGATGTGAAGATACAATTATTTTCCTATAATTTAAAATTAAATTATTGCTTAAGTATAAATTTGGCTTATCGAATTATGGTTTAGTTAAAAGTCTATAGAGATACAGCAGCTACTATAACTAAAAAAGATGTTTAGGTGAGGTTACTGGGACCGTCCGAAGACTCACTTAGACCATGAGGTTCATTGTGATACCCTAAAGAATCTGACACCTGTCCCTATAACCATTTGGTACTAACCACTTTGGTACTAGCCATTGACACAAGCTATGGAAATAAAATTTAGCTTTCTTAGTGAATTGAAAAAGTATGACACTAAGTAGGAGAGTCTATCTCAGGACACTGTAGCAGAAGGTGTATTGGTGATTCCTCTTCATCATCCTCCATGCAATATCTACAATGTAAGCAGGTCCTGATATTGAGCCTCACGGTCCCCTAATAATTCCCACTATCTTGGATAAATTTGCTCGGAATAGGTTGATTAATTCCCCCGATCTTACTATGTTATCATAAAAATTTTATAATTCTAAATAATATTACTTTGTATCATAAATATTATTTATTTCTTCTTCTTCTTCTTCTAAGTGCCTTGTCCGCTTTGAACATTGGCTAACATGACTGTTTTTTTTTTATCCACAGCTTCATGAAAAAGCGAGCTTATACTTTTACAAAACCACTGTCTTAAATTATTAAGTCACGATATCTTTCTTCTTCCCGGGCCTTGTCTTCCTTCAATTCATTCTTCAATGTTTAGCTTGAGTAAACCATATTTTTCTGGATGCCTTAAAATATGACCAAAATATTCTAATTTGCTGCGTTTTACTGTCTCCAGTATCTCTCTTTCTTTGTGTTAAGGCGCAAAAGTACCTCCGAATTTTGCACATGTTCCGTCCAACTGTTTTTTTTATATACGTCGATAGCACCACATTTCGAAGGCTTTAAGTTTATTCAACGACACAACCGTTAACGTCCACACTTCTACACCATAGAGTGATGTAGAGAAGAGGTAACATTTCAGCATCGGCGGTAGTCTTAATGATAAGGATAGCTTTTGGGGAGCATAACAATTTTTTCATCTTTATAAAGGAAGTTACTTACTCATGTTCATATCTTTGCCATCGATCTGTCACATATAGGGAAAGGGTGACAAGTTTTCTGTAAGTAGTCTTTTTGGCATCAAATAATACTCTGGGCGAACATTTAGGAAGGGAGAGGATTACAGACGTTTATCAAACTTTCAAAAATTTGATTAAAAACATGTAAATGATATCAATTAATGGGAATATCACTTGACCTGTGCTCTAATAAAGTGCAATTACATATGATGGTCAAGCCCTTCAACTCTTTAGCAAAGGTGAATATCAGGTGGACTTAACACTATTAAAAATACACTAAATTAAAATAAAATCAATTTCAAATAAAGTCAACTACAATAAAATAAATTGAAACAAAATTAAAAAAAGTCAAATTAATTTAAATAAAAATAAATTAAATTATTTACCAAAAAATTTATAATTATTGAATTAAGTTTTTATGTTATAATTATTATAACTTTAATTATTATAATAATTAAGTATTAAGGTTGAATTATGTTTTATTATAATAAATTATTTTAAAATAATTTAAATTAAATTAAATTTATTTGTTTTATAGTAATCTGAATTAAATTAATTTTTTTTCATATCTAACTATATTTATATATCAAATAAATTTATGTATTAAATTGAATTATATTTTATTACAATAAATTAATATAAAATAATTTTAATTAAATTTAATTGTTTTAAATTAATCTGCATTAAATTAAATTATTTTTTTCATATTAACTTGAATCAAATTAAATTTTATTATATCAAACTTATATAAAATAATTTAAATTAAATTAAATTTAATTGATTTGTATGAAATTAAATTAAATTTCATTTAATATATAATAAAATAAAATAAAATAAAATAAAATAAAATAAAATAAAATAAAATAAAATAAAATAAAAT